AGGAGAATGGAGGAGAAGGGATTGCGGCGTGGCCATCCCCCCTGGGGGGTGATTTCTTGCTTTCTGTCTCTCTCTCTCTCTCTTTCTGGGGAGTGCACGTGCCCTATAGCAAAAACCTCTCCCAAAAACAAGGAAAAAAAAAAAAAAAGGAAACAGTCCCTGACTGCCATTAACTAGTGGTATGACCTACGACGTCCATTTGATAGACCTCTATCATACTATTTGATCCTTCTGGATCCCGGTTTCCTTTTCTGGAAAATGAGGAACTTGAAATGAGCACCGAGGTTCCTTCCAGTATTGACATTTGGGTTATTGTCCCAATGTGCCTTTCTATAATTTCTGTTTTAAACATACCAGTTCTGGTTACTCTGTAGTTCCCTTTCTCCCACTGCTCCCTTAATCTGTGTCAAATCTGGGTTCAGACTGACTTAAACATAATTTACTACGGAATACTATGTTTTCTGGGCACTCTCAAATACAGGGCACACAGATATTTACATGGTGCGCTTCTTGAAGTGCTTAATGTGTATAAAGAGTTGGTTACTGTTGAACTAATTTCTAAATCTTGGTGTATCTGTTACTTTGACTTTAAGTCATGTTTCTTTTGATCTTTACTTGAATAAGTTTTTAAAGGTAAAATTCTTGCTATGTAAAATACAGATACATTCTCAGAACTGACAATAAAAATAGCAGCTTGTGATTATTTTAGAGTTGTATTAACATCCTCAAGTATTTAAACCATCACTAAAGAAACACATGATACAGTTTTTGTTTGCTTTTTTTTTTTTAAATAACTTTTATTTATTTAGTTTGATTTTACCAGAGAGGGACAGTGATAAGAGAGGAAGTGAGAAAGCAGGTCGCCAGGTCCGAGACTTGAACCACAGTTGGCCATGTGGGAGTCCAGCACCCTTAACCACCATGCCACTTGCTGGCCCCAGTTTTTGTTTGCTTTTAGACAGGTCTCTATGTCATGGTCCTTCTGCCTCAGACTCCTAAATAGCTGGGATTATAGGCTCCTAAAACCAAACAGGCTTTTCAGAGTTAACAGGAATAGAATCCTGACCTGCCATCTGTCTTCAGCCTGCCCTGTAGCAGTGTCAACCAGCTTGCTACCCACTGTACCATATGATATAGTTGTTTTAAAGAGGTTATTGCCTTAGGGTGCATGCTCTCACAGGAAAGAGACAGAGACAGTGAGAGGGAAAGTGAGAAATCACCCTCTCTGGGGGGATGGCCATGCTACAGTCCCTTCTCCTCCTCTATCCCTCCCCCCCTCCAGGATTTTAGGCATGCACGCATGCACACTTGCAGAGCATGATTTTCAAGCCATCAGGTCCAGGACAGAAACCACAGTCAGCCCTGTGGGAGTCCAGCCAAGTAACCACTATACTGTCTCATGACTCCATACATGATGTAGTTTTAAATTAGTTAATGATAAAGTGTATGCATCATCCCATTTTTTCATTTTTCCCCTGTACCAGGAAGAATACATATCCAACACTTTTTACTTTCTTTTTACCAAGATCAGGAAAATGAGGCCCACAGGAGACGATCAACCTTCTCAATCAAGATAATATTTGCTGGTATACGTCAGAACAAGTGTCCACCCAAGGTTCTTTTGTTGCCTTGTCAGGTACTTTATAATACCGTGCCTATTTTAGTTATTTATTTTCTTTCTTTTTAAAAATAGTTTGTATACTATATATACTATGTCAAGACCGTAAAATACATTTTAGGATGATTGGTTGAAATGTAACATTCAAATTTTTATTTTAACAGAGATTTTTTGCAATTGGGCATGTGCACTCGCCTGAGAAAGAAGAGAGACAGAAAACGAGAAATCACCCCCTGCCCTGGGGTGGCAGGGATGGCCACGCTGCAGTCCCTTCTCCATTCTCCTCTTGGATTTGGGGCAGGCATGAGTCCAGTGTGAGTTTTAAGCTGCTGGGTCTGTGACTAGAACTGTGGTCGACTACGTAGGAGTCCAGCTATGTAACCATTATGTAACCATCTGCTGGTGGTCCCGAAATGTAAAATTTTAATTTTAATTTAATGTGCAGTTACCTAGCAAACCTTATCTGTTCAGAGCTTTAATATCTTTGGTCACATCAAGTAACTACTACCATTTATGAATAATTTTAGAGAATTTCCAGCAGAAAATATAAATATATATAATAAGTATTATAGATAACATATATTGGGTTGTCAGAAAAGTCATGACACATTTTTGCATAGAAAAAGAGAGAAAATATGTCACGACTTTTCTGACAACCCAATATATAATAAAACGCGAATTTTGGCAAGGCTTCCAAACGTACAGTATTTGTGAATTTTGTGTGATTTGTGCCACTGACTCCTTGGAACAAACAATATCAGTATATGTTATATATAAATATAAAATTGCATATTAT